CCCCAAAACCCCAAAACCCCAAAACCCCAAAACCCCTAGATTTATTAACAATATTGAATAATTTATAGTTAAACCTCACAAAATGGAGAAGGAGGAACAACAAAATATGCAGAATTTGTTAAACTTAACTCGGGATAAACGCCACAAACATACCTTGAAATCAGATGATGAAAGTGGTGAGGGTAAATCTAAATCTAAAATGTCCAAATCCCGTAAATCTAGGTCCAAAATCACCAGTCAGTTCCTTGAAGAGAACATGAGAATTTTTAAAGAGAGCGGTCTCGGCAAAGATGCTAAACCACCTGATCATAAGCGTGAGGTATCAGAGACAGCCAAGCGGAAGAATATCTCTCAGAAGCCTCTCTACGAGTAAGCTATTCAATATAAATTTAGCCTCACTGAAGAGGAACTCCAGTTAGTAGAAAAAGAAAAGCAAAAGAAATTAGAAGAGAAGGAACGTATGAAAGAGGCAGTCAGGATGAAATAACGAAGCCAGGAAAAGAGTCAAAACTGATATGAAAGTCTCTATTAACGACCTTGGTTCTACTAAGAACTATAAGACCCTCAGTTCGACGGAAGAGGTTCATAATTTTGTCGAAAAGTATGGGATAGCGAAGTATTCCAAGATGATCCAAGGTAAGTTACACCAACTTATTCCTTAGTGGAAAAGGAAAGGCTAAAACATCTTGGAAATGCTAGGCAACAATCAAACCTTGAGTAAATCCTTGGGTTATCTTTAGCAATAAAATTAATGCAATTGTACTACAAAAGAAAAAGAAGAAGAGTCGTATGAGGTTCGATGTCTTCAACAGTGCTGCAGTCCTACTTAAGCCAGAAGTAGATGCCTCTGAGAAACAAATTCTTGCAAAAAATTAACTTTCTTTCTTCAAAGAATAAAGTAAAACTAATGATGGCAACAGACCAGTTTTTGGATTTCAATGAGTTCGAGCCTGAAAAGAAAGGACAGTATAGCCAACCTCTCAATCCTATGCATAAGAAGAAGACTAGGTCTGTCCCAAGGAGAGAGGGTTTGAAAGACTCTCTACCTCCAATCCTTGAAGTTCTTCAGGCTGATGAAGCTGATCATAAAGATAGTACAAAGCCTAAGGCTAAAAATAGGGAACCTAGCCCAGAACTTCGAGAGGTTCGGCCTGTCAAACAAGAGATCAATGGTAGAATTGATAAAAAGACTACAAGTCTACAAGGAAGGTTGAAAAATGTGATTTCTAAGCAAAATCATTTCAAAAACAGAGGCCCTCGTCGGAAAGATTATGAAGGTAATATTTCCTCTGAGGTATAGAATTTCTAAAATAAGAAGCAAAACAATCAAGAAGAGGACGATGAAGAGGTGTCTGCCCCCTTCACTAATGAGCAGTATTCTGTTGGATTAGTCAAACCTTCATCCCTTTCGAATGAGGGAGCCTCTCACAAAAGCACATTTGAAAATAAAAGTTAGAATTCTCTAAATCTCATAGTGTACTCAAAGCAAGGCGCAAAGCTAGCAGGAAGTGCTGATAAGCAAAAGCATAAGAAAACTCGTTCCAAAGAAGTCTCGACTGCATATGATAGAGAAACTCTATTCAACAAGCTTGATCCTATCTTTCAGAAATATAACAATGGCCAGATTGAAACCTTAAACCACCAGGCTAATATCAAAGATAGAGTCAGAGAGGTCACAACTGATGTTAACAAATAAAGAAGTGGAACAATTCATGTAGGATACTATCTTCATATCTTTAGAAACCAAGATTACTATTCCCTTATGTAAGATATACAAATGATATCTTGTAGACAATCTAAGAAAATAGGTAGAACCAAGCAGAAGGAGGTATTCTACTGAAACAAGATCAACCCTATCGATGATAAGTCCCTTCCCATGCTTCTGAAAGATGAGACTGAGAGTGGTCAGGAATACTTTAAATTCGAGAACGATCCTCATAGCCACCTTCGTGACCAAATATCTCAATACTCTGAGAATTACGTGCGAGATCGTTACTTTTTCCAGAAGAACAATAAGCCTTTCCTTTTAGATGCCTATAAGACAGGACACCGGAACCAAAATTCGGCACCAGGGATTATCAAGCAGGCTACTTTTGAGACTTCATCCTTACTATCTAAAGAAAGTTCTGGGGGTAAATTTTCATCTATGTGTAGAGATATTCACTCAAAAAGATATCTTAGAGCTACCAAAACTCAGCCATACTGGAACAAAAGTGCGCCCAGAAAGGGAAAGAGTCAGTAAAGAAGAGCTCAAAATTAGAGCCAAACTAGCTCGAATGGAGTACAAAATCAAGGATCTTAAACAAGACTTCAACCAGAGTAACTCTCATTTGACCTCTAGAGCATCGAAAGTTGAACAAATTCGTCGTCCTGTTCGGTTCTAGTCTTACATGTATAGAAAATAAGGACTCAGAAGGCAGGTTTACTAAAGTAGCCAAAAAGCGTGCTAAAATCAAGAAGTACCTCAAACAGCAAGAGGCTAATAAACGTGAAGGCAAAGCCGAGGTCGTCTTCGCAGAAGACAAACTTGGTAAGTGACTTCACTAGAACTGTAGATGAGATTGAAATTGAAATGAAATAAACAAGCCGCTATACGGGAGAAAAAGGCTAAACTTGAGGCTTTAAAAAAGTCCAAAATGTTGAAAGCCCAAAAACTCACTATTAATCAACTCAAGAAGTTACAAAAACATATTAATCATAAGACTTATGCCACTAAAAAGAGAGTTTGGGAAGGTAATGGCCTATATTTCTGAATTTATAGGTGAGAACGGGAAATTTAAAGAAAGAGACCTCAAAACATACTTCAAAAAGTTTGATGCGAACCAAATCTTTGTAAAGAAGAAAATGGATGATTACAAAGTTGTTAAAAGTGATGATGAAAAAGACTAATAATCAATCTTTATTAATATAAATGGGGTTTTGGGGTTTTGGGGTTTTGGGG